CCCTCCAATAAGATCTTTTAAAATAAAGTTTCATCTTACCTGGAGCTGAGCCATTCATAAATGATACTTCACCCTTCCAGTGGTGGAAGAGAGAGGGGAGAAAGGAGAGCAAAAGGGGAGGGACCGCCCAAGAAACCTAACCTTGCAGTCACAGGAACTGTGATTTATGGAGTGAAGCTAAGCTGACTGCTAGAGCAGTGGGGGCAACAACACTGGTTAAGAGAAACAGTTTTAAGCACGCTCGATTTTATGTTCTAAAATAATACTTAAAGATTTATTAGATATAACTAAGAAGAAGCATTTATGACTGGATGGGTCCTTAAAGAATCTCATGCCTCCTCACTCATTTGATCGCTGAGAAGTGAAATGACCTGCCCAACGCTGGCGAGTTAAGGCTCAGTACCCAAATCAGATTTCTAGTCTCCTGACTATTAAACCAGTGACCACTTCTTTCATGCCAGAAAATCTTTCTTTTTTACACAGATGGCGGCCTTACCGAGGGGCATGATGGAGAGGTATTTGCCTCGGAATTTGCTGGTGATCTTGATTTCCTGACGCAATGTCCAGCCATTTTTGGACTCGGCATGGTGTGCAGCAGCAGGAGGATGATGACTCACCTTGAAGAAATCAGTGGTTCAAATTAAGACGGAGGAAAGGAGAAGGAAAAGATACTGCCTATGAATTGGTGAGAAAACACCCAAAATGCACGCATGACATTTTTATACCCACAACAGTAGGTGAACACCAGGGCCTCCAGTGTTGAAGCCCTAAAGGAAAAGAAGGCAGTCTGGAATGACAGGACTGGAATTTCTGCAAATATAACACCCAGAGGTATCAACCAAAACCATCCCTTTCTTCAAAGTAAATGCGTCACAGTCCTGAGGCTCCTTTACCTGCTCACAGAGGGAGCGGTACCCATTCTCCTCTAATCGGTCCAGCTCGAAAGTCTCCCCAAGGAGTGGGTTGAATGGCTTGCTGGTACGGAAGACAGTAGTGGAGTAGGAGGACACGGTGAAAGCTGCAACGTAACAGAGCTGTTCTAGAGAGTTCTCACATTTTGCAGCTCGGTCTAACAGCTCATGGTATTCCAGATCTTCAGTAAGGCGCTGAAGCATGGATAAGGGCTCATTAAAGTTCACCTGTCAGGAAAAGAACAGATTTAAAAACTTTGCCCACACATCTATAAGAGACAGTTGAATGTTTCTGCAGGTAGAGAGACATATCACGATGTCAAGATGATAAAGCCGATCACTGGGAAGAAAAGAGGCCTCTGCTCAGGAGACCAGCTCTAAGATCTAACCTACAAGTGACCCACTCTCCCTGGTCAACTGCCCTTGTCAATGAGCGGTATAAATCACTGTTTTCATTTATTTCACTAACTGTAAGCTCTTTGAGATAGGAACCATGCCTCTTCGTTCATCCCTGCATATCCGAGAGCCATTGATGCCTCATCCATAGGAAACCATCATCAAATAGGTATAGAAAGAATGCATAAAAGAAGAAATGTATTTTAGCACAAGTATACTCAGAGAGGAAGTAAGGTATTTAAAATTCTTGAGGAAGAAAAGAAAGGGTAGTAAATTATAAGTACAGGCTTGTCCCGACTGGTGAAAAGAAAACATTACAAAAGTTAGCTTCTACTCCTGGATAAGACAATTGCTAATTTTTTTTTTTTTTAAGATTTTATTATTTTTTTTGTGAGAGAGAGCGAGCTCAAGCGGGGGGAGGGGCAGAGGGAGAGGGAGAAGCAGACTCCCGCTGAGCAAGGAGCCCGACATGGGTCTCGATTCCAGGACCCTGGTGTCATAACCTGAGCTGAAGGCAGACACTTAACTGACTGAGCCACCCAGCCGCCCCTCAATTGCTAATTATTGATTCAGTTCTACATCAGGCCAGGATTCTGGTTTCTTCTCTGAGGCTGGACAGTTGTGTTCTGAACAGGAGTGCTCATGATGGGGGCTCACTGGGGGCTTCGGGTGTTTCTGCCTTTCAAGTTTCAGAGCCAACTTAGGGCTCTCAACCACAGGATGAAGAAAGTGTGTGTGTGCTTCTGTAGGGCAGATGTTCATTCATTCATTTATCCCGTTACGCGTTCCACAAATATTTAGTGAGCCCTCATGTTTGCCAGATCCTGTACCATCCGCTGGGTATAGAGAGACGTGAACAAAAGAGACATTATCTCTCCATCCCCCCAAAAAAGAGTTAATTTCTAAATTGACTGGAATTTAAGATGACTTTACTACTTAAAAAATCACTATAAAAAACAGGTTAGGTTCCCAGGCTAGCCCACAAAGCTTACTTTAGCTTTACAATACAGCAATCTCGCTGAACAAGCCTGCATATCATTAGCCTGAGTTCTGAACCCAGAGAACAGAGGAAGGAGGAAAACAATTCCCTTTCTATTGACTAGCGCTGGCCTAGAGCAGTATTTCAGTTAAAACAAACAAAAACACTTCTCTTTCCTGTGGTCCCACCTCTTTTTCCACATTTTTGTCCAACCTCCTACCCACCAATCTCTGAGCCACATAGTACCCTAATATTTACTGCCCTCCCAATTGTGAACTGTCTTGTAATTTCTGCTATAACAAGCTTTAAAAAGGAAAAAATTTACCTGAGATGCCATTACCCAAAGATAACCATTATATTTTCATGTTTATTTCTATGCATTTATACATTTAAAAAATGAAAAATAGGATACAGCCTGCTTTTTCTCTGAGAAATATATCCAGCATTTCTCTGTGAAAATTTCCCAGTGAACACAGAGCCACCGGACCGACAATAGAACACTCCCCTTTTGGGGGGCGCCTGGGTGGCTCAGTCGGTTAAGCATCTGCCTTCAGCTCCGGTCATAATCTCAGGGTCCTGGGATCGAGCCCCGCATTGGGCTCTCCACTCAGTGGGGAGTCAGCTTCTCCCTCTCCCTCTCCCCTCTGTGCTCTCTCTCTCTCTCAAATAAATTACAAATTAAAATCTAAAAAAAAAAAGAACACTCCTCTTTTGGGAAGTAGGATCTTGAAGAAATCAGTGCCTCAACTAAAACAGGGCACCACATTCCAACACCATCTTCTTGACACTGAGAGACACTTAGAGAAAAACAGAAGAAAAAATGCACACTGAGGAGTAATGGACTAACAGAGCTCAAATCCTCAAGAGTCTTTTTTACAGAAGGTACTTAGAAACTACGCCAATAAAATCTCCTTGGCAGAATTTCAGGCAACACAAAGTAACGCTTCCATGCATGTTGAGGGACACCGGACGAGCAGTGCGCTCCGCTGGTGGCTACAAGACATATGGGCACAGCCTTAGGCATCCGTAAGCCCTCGCTGTTCTTCACACACACGCAGCCCTGGCCCCCAACCACTGTTCCAGGAACCAGAGTTTCTTTAAGGCACCAAGCTTTTCGTATTGGTCATTTTATCAGCCAGAGGCCCAACAGGGAAACAAAGGAAGGAGGGAATTCATTACACGGCTGATGGAGATCACAACAGCTGGAGGAACAAAGAGAAGCAGCGGCAGAACCATGGCCCAGAGGCCGGAGGCTCCCAGCAGAAGCTGAAGCCTCACGGGCCCCGTCCAGTGGAAACCAGAGCCACACAGCCACCGTTAAAGCACTGCCCAGGAGAATGCACGGCCGGGGTCCCTCCCTTCTCCAACCCCCCACCCCAACTCCTACTGGTGCCTTGCACTGGTGGAGCACAGCTGGCCGCCAAGACACAGAACCCGAGAAACAGCCTAGAGGACCCAGCTCTCCTGTGACGCCCCACGGTGCAGGCAGAGGGTGAGGACTAGAGCTTCGGGCAAACAGCCACAGGACTGCACACCCCTATTGTCAAGGTCAACAAGGAACTAATGGTAAAGGAGAGAGAGAGGTCACCTAGCCTCGGAAGTTCTTTCTAAGCAGGAACTGCATTTCTGAGGCTGCAATGATGTCCTTCCCGCTACTTTCTGCAAGGCACCAGGAAAGTGGGGCTTCTTTTCAGACCCCCCAGTAAACCAACTATATTGTGTGTCTCCACGGTGCTAACTCGTGGCCTTTTCTTGTCTGGGCGTCCACGCTTTTCTGACAAAAAGCCTACACACTTACATATAAATCACTTTGTTTTCTAAGACCCAGTTAATTACTTCAACAATTGCTAACTGGTGTACCTGTGCCAGGCACTGGCTCAGCATCCAAGATCTGAAGACCAGGAAGACACAGTCTCTACCATAAGGAACGCTGTCTGTGGAGAAGCAGAAGCCACACGCTGCTTCCTGAGACCCAAGAGGGGAGGAGAATACTTTTTGTATTTCTCTATGCTACTCCCCACTCTCCATTCTTCCCTGCTTCTGCAAGACATAGAACCCTCCAGTGTTTAACTAGGCCACCCCACTGAAAGTAGGAGACCCCCTTGCCAGCTGTGGCCATATAACTAAGTTCTGGCCAAAGAGACTAAAGTGAAACTAGTTTATGCAATTTCTAGGACGCACTCTTAACAGGCAGGGCATGGCCTTCTCGTTCCTTCTTCCTGCTGACTGGAATGAGACCCTGATGGTCCCAGCCGGGGCGGCCACTTCAGACCTAGGAACTGAGGCCACAGGTAGGAGAGCAACAGGGTAGAAAGAAGCGTGGTCCTGACAGCGTGGAGTATGGTACCAGCCCTGGATCCCCTAGCTCCGGACTTTAACAGGAGAATGAGTTAAGCTAATATTTGTTTAAGGTAGGAGTTGGCCAGCTTTTTCTGTAAAAGGTAAGACAGTAAATATTTATATGGCCCTCAAAGCCTGAATATTCCCTATCGCACACGACACTGCCATACGGTCTCGGTCACAGCTGCTCGACACTGCCGCCGAAGGACGAAAGCAGCCACGGACAGTACACGCATGAACCAGCATCACTGGGGTCCAATAAAACTCACGGGACGCTAACATCTCAATTTTATGTAATTTTCACGTCACGAAATATTATCCTCTTTTTTATTCTTTTGAAATATTTAAAAACATAAAAACTATTCTTAGCTTGCAGGCTGCATAGATGGCAGCCAGATTTGGCCTTGAGGCCCACAGTTTGCTGACCCTGGGTTTAGACAAACAGATTTGGGATTTGTTTCATCACTGATACACTGGTGCAACACCAGGCAGAGAGCAGGCACTCAGGAAATGCTTGTGTAATGACTGAGCAATGGAACCTGCTGGAACACAAGGGAGAGCCATCTCACCCTGACCGGATGCATGGGTGAAAGCTTGCTCCCGGACATAATGCTGAAGCTGAATCCTCAAGGCGATTAGCCACGGGAAAAGAAAAGTAGCATGGGTGCGTGGGGAGCTGATGAAAGTTGGGGTAGAAAGAGCAGTCTGTGCAAATGCCCCACGGGGGAGAAACCAAGATGCCTCTGCAAACCTGAAGGTAACTCTGAAGGACTGGATCACCAGTGTGGGTGGAGCCTGGCCCAGGGGAGGAAGAATCAGGCCCACTAAGGAATCTGGACTACCCTCAAAGCCAAAAAGGATCCAGTTAAGGATTTTTGTTTTGTTTTGTTTTGTTTCCAGTTAAGGATTTTAGGCTAAGGAGTGACAGGACTACATCTGTAATTTTAAAAAGGTCATTCTGGCTACGGTGTGGACAGACTGGAGGAGGGAAGGGCGGGAGGCACGGAGGTCAGCCCAAACACCGACTTCACCATGGAGAGGATCCTCATCTTCCCAGACGGAACGGACTGTTTTTGTTCTGCGCTCCCCAAGCCTGTGTATGGCTAGTACTTCCCGTAACACTACCATGGAGACTAAAATTTTCTACCTGTTTTCATGTCTGTCTCTTTTAAACTACATGCTTTTTGAAAACAGAAACTCCGCTCTGTTTATCTGTGCATGCCCCCAGCACGTCGCGCTTAGGAATCTGCTCATAAATGTCACTAAACAAATGCATCTGATCTGAAGTGATCCGGAAACACACCAGATCTACAGACTACATTAAAGCAGCTAATTTTTTAAGGGACAGTTTATGACTATAAGGGTAACAAAGACCACGCCACACATAAACTGCCTCTCGAGCGCATGCGGCTGTCCCAGCAAGCACACTTCCCGCTGCGGCCCGAGAGGCCTTCCTGGCAGAGCCCAGGTGTGCAAGAGCCTCACCGGCATGGGGATCTTTGAGAGTTCTTTTCCAATGCAGTTCTTCATGATGCTCCATAAATTGAGGCTGTAGTTTGGCTTGTATGGTATTCTAGTTCTCTTTTCCTTCTTGGTCTCTTCCAGCTGATGCTTGTACTAAGGGCAAAAACAAAGCCATTCAATCACCCACAAAGAACAGAAAACCCGGTATTTATAAGCTTCCCTTCCCCCATATTAAAAAAGAATCAGTATTTTCTGTTTCTCGTAGGGCTTTACAGGCAAATCCTTGGGAATCATGCCCACATCCCTCACCCGATGGCTCCCGAATGAGTGTTACCTGTTCATCCAGGCTGATGTCACTGCTGGCCCCGCTGATGTTGCTGCCAGTCCGTCTACACAGGTGGGAAACATGTGAGAATCAGAACAAGGGTCAACAACCAGAGTCTGGTCCGCGCCAGGTCTCTACAAAGCGGAATGCAAAGCACACCGCACAAACTTAGTAACGGGTGACCGAAGGGCACTTAGATTAGAATATGCATGAATTTAAACATCTCTGGAGGTCGTTCATGGAAAAAAGTTGAGGGTTTTCCATTCATTTAAGGAAAAGAGTCCAGATCTGAGTTAACATCGACAAGTTTGATAGTCCCACTGAAACATTTCTCAACTCTGAAGGTCGGATGTGTTCATTTCGGGGGGGAGTCAAGGACAACTTACTTGTGGCCCAAATTCTCAGGCATGGTGATGATCTCAGGAGCATCAAAAAACTCATTCTCATCATCTTCATCACTCATGTCTCCTTTGCCAGAGCAGCACTGATCTGTGAGGAGAAGGCCATTCGTTTACTCTGGCTCAATTGACCAAAACCCGGCCCAGCAGGGTCTTGACCACACTAACTACCAACAGAGCAACACTTGATAGAGAGCAGCAGAAGAGCCAAGTAAACAGCTCCAATTCCCTGGCCCAGGAGTCACTGATCCTGGAGAGTCTGCAGGTCTGCTATCAACGGCAGAAAACCACCTGGCTCATATCTGAACAGGCCACCCAAGAGCCAAGCGACTTACCTTTTCCAGAACCAGCAGTGCCCGGAGTGTTGGCTGGCAGCACCGTGGCCCCCCGGAAGGCCCTCTCCAGGTGATTATGTTGCTTCGCCAGCTGCTCCAGGGTCTCCTCCAGCCGGATACGCTGGTCTCTCTCATACTGAAGGGACTTCTGCCACTTTTTACTATGGGTCTGGGCTAACATGAGGAAATCTCTGCAGGCCTGGACGGAGAAGGAGTTATGCTCAACTCAACTAGTCAGAGCCTTCCCTCAGGCCTCTGTAAGCCCATTAAAGTAACCATATTCTAGGAACTTTAGCAAATTACAGCGAAAGACTCCTTTTTATACCACGGTATCAGGGACAGCCAGCTCCGTGATGCAATCAAGGTCAATCCCAGAAAAAAAACTGAACATGGTTGTTATGGTTCCTTTATATATTCCTGGTCATGAGGACTAAACAAATGCCAAGTGAGCAATAAACCTAGGCAAGGTATTTGTGGCAACATCGCCAGGGGCAACTATGTGAACTGAACCCAAAGAAGCAATCTATTGACTAAAAGAAAGATGAGGATAAGCAGAGGGTAACTGCTTTCAATACATTCCTGACCACACTCAGGTCACCTAAAGCTGAGGAATTCAGACGCTGAGAAAAGGGAGTCTGTCCTGAATTAGATCAAAATGGGGAAAAGTAACTGGTTTTTATCTTGGTCACGAAGAGAAACAACTGACCTTAAAAACTACAAGCCTATGTGGGCATCAAGGAAGGGATCTACAGACAAAACACAGACCTGATCATATTAGCCCCTTCACTGGCTCCCCTATTGGGTTGACCGTCAAGGGCCCTTCAGGTGTGGCCACCACCTGCCTTGTAGCCTCCTCCCCTCCTCTTTGTTCTTTAAGATCTGTGGCAAATGTTACTTCTTCTGTGATGATTTCATAAGCAGCCAATCTCTCCTCTGCATTTCCATAGCACTATGCACACACTTCTGTTTTATACCATCCACAGTGGTATTGTGACTGATTTTCTGTCTCTCCAGGTGGGTTATGAGCAACCCGAAGACACCATTTATACCTTATTTATACACATATCTCCAGCTCCTAACTTAGTTGCTTTGTACATTGTAGGAGCCTGATAAAGGTTGCTTAATAAATAATGAAGGCAGGAAGCAATGTAAACTTAAAAGTCTATGCCCTGTTATGGAGAAAATAAAAGATAAACAGAGTATCTACTCCCATGGTTTCAACCTTTGCCTATAAGCTAATGCCCATGAAATCAGTAATTCCAGCTCTGTACGCATGGAGACAGGATATCCAATTGTCTATCCAATGGTCCAAAGTAATCTCAACATCATCGGGTCCCAGAGTGAACTCACCACATTCCCGTTCTGACTCTGCTTCTCCACGCCAAGAACAGTACCAGGGCCCTTCCCCCTGCCCAAGCCAGGAAACTAGGAGGCACCTTTGATTCTTAATTTTTCTTCCCTCCCCACTTCTGATTATCAAGTCCTACTGAATCTTCTTTAATATTTCTGGGATCTGTGTACACATCTTTCCATCCTCCATACTCAGAGGCGTTCCATTGTTGGGGCTCTAATCGCAGCTCCATCCCACTATCTAGCTATGGAATTTGGGGCAAGTCATTTAACCTATCTGTGCCTCATATGCAAACAAAGAACAACCACAGCAACTATCTCAAAGAGTTGTCGCTTTACATATAAAGCATTTAGAAATCTGAGGCTCACGGTAAGCATTCAATAAGGTGTTAGCTATCATAGTTAAGCCTGCATCAAAATAGGTCTTATCCTCTTCTAATCCACTCTACCAAGCCCATTTAGTAGGATCTGCACCCCATCCCCTCCCCCACACTTAATCCCTGGCCAGCCTTATCTCTAGCTACTTCCTTGTTCTAACAGTCAATTAGTAGTTTCCAGACTTTGAGAGAGAGGGAAGGGATCCCCATGAGCCACAGCTGTACCTAGATCAGTTCCTCTCCCTCACTTCTTTTAAGAATACTGGTCATAACTAAAGTTTAGTGAAAGGCAATTATATGTCAGGCACTTTGGTGAACCCTTTACATTAATTATCTAATAGAAGCCTTTCAACAATCCTTTCAGCAGCTACTAGTTTCATCACCATTTACAGAAAAGGAATTGAGTTCACAGAGGAAGCAGGTTATGTAGATAGCTAAGGCAGTTGGACTTCAGGCCCCCAAGCTGTCAATATTGCCTTTTTTCATAGGAAGAGTCTCTCTGGTCTTTCAGAACTTAGTTGAGGAGTCACCTTCTCTAATCTTCCTGGTATGAGCTAAACACTTCCAATATCCTATATATACCATAGCACCCTGTGTTCCTTTCTATCATGACACCTAGCACACTCTATAATGATCCGTTTACTTCTCTGTCCCCTCACTAGAGAATAATCTCCCTGAGGGCAGGGACCATACCCACATTTGTTTTATATCCCCTAGCACAGTGCCTAGAACACAGATGGTGCTCAACAGATGTTTCCTGAATAAGCAAATGGATACACTAACAGTATCAAATGTATTTCCCAGGTTCAATTCACTTTGGTAGAAAGAAGAGCTATGTCCTAAGCAATCAAGAAATTGAGTGAAATGTATTCTTCCTTTGATAAAACTTTGCCTGTTTTGAGATGTAAAGTCAGCATGTTAATTTTAAGGCCTTGCCACTATCACCTAAAAGATACCAAGGAAAAAATGCAAGGATAAAAAAACCCATTTCAAGCAACAACCAGCTATGAAGGGGGCATAGGCAGTACACTGGGGAGAACAGAATGAAAAAACAGAACTTACCTCTGACTGCCAAAGGATCATTCCCTTTGACACAAACTCTGAACATTTACAACTTGGGGAAGAAGAACTGCCCCAACGAACAAAGATGGGCATTTCTTTCAAAAGAAAAATCCAAACTAAGTTTCAGTTTTATGAGAAAATTTTTTAACCAAGAGGTGTTTAATTTAATTTTTCACATCAGAGGAGAAAAAAACCTGCCATGGAGCAGCGATAAAAGGCCACATTCACTGTCAGAAGACTGTTGTGTCCTGTTCCATTTAAGAAGTATATTTATTGGTGAATTGACCTGTATGATTTATGAGGTTTTCCTGATCATAAGAGGACCTGAAAAACAGGCACACAGTCACTAAGAAGTGGGACAGTTTGGAACAAGAGCATACGATTAGACATTAGAACCACAAGCATTCGTGCTGATGGGCAGAATGGGCTTGGGAGACAGCTGATCTTCCTGCAGTCCTTAAGTGGACAAAAATAATCAGCCTCTTCTACATGGTGTGTGAATCAGAGCACTGAAGAAAATGTTCAGCATTTCAGAAAATGATATGAAAATCAAGGTTATCACAACTTTCTATGGAGTAACAAAGGGGTTTTAAGTGAGAAAAACTAAAATTTCCTCTGGGCACGAGAAAAGACCTTTGATCTCTAGAAGCCATGTGAACTAAACTAGTTCTAAGCAAATGTCTTAGTATCACTCCCTGAACAAGGGAAAATCTGGCCCTAGTGAGGTAATTTCATCCCATTTAATTGGACAGGGGCAAAACCAGCATAAGCCCTTTCTCAGAATACTCTTTTCACTTGCCTTAGGACACATCCTCTGGTGTTCTTCTGTGCAAGTGAACTGAAACAACGCACCAGGTGAGAATCAGTCACCGACAGAGGAGCAACAGTGCCGTTTAAACCATGTATTCATTTCACACCTGTCACCCAGTATCTGAAATACATCCCAACGCCCTCCATGCTCTGAGTTTACCTAGAGCCCTGCACCCAAGCAGCTGAAGTATTCCACACAGCCACCCGAGGCTGGAGTCATAATAAAACAGAAGCATTGATCCCTTCTATTTTTAAAGCAAAGTATCCAAATTTGAGTACTTTTGTCTTATCACCCAGAATTAGCCCCGGAATCAAGGACTACAGATGGGACTAACTAGTACTATAAAGTTCTCACTAGTACCTGGCCGGCCCCCACTTACCACACCGTAGGCCAGAGCGCACTAGCAAAGTATGGTAAGACTCCCAACTTGAAGCTCACACACGACAGTGGAAGGGACCCACGGAGACCACTCCGATCCAACAGATCAAGTTAGATAAAAACAAATTAACAAAACCGCAACCCAGAGAGGTTAAGGGACTCAACTAACATCACCATCGGATGTCCTGCCGGCTGCAGAAGCAAGGCTGGGCCTCTGGCCTCCTAACGAAGTCCCAGGTTGGAGAGCACTGCGTGAGCAGAGCATGAAAGTCATTGCATCTGCGCGGTCTGTTCTCTTTCATGCAACGAATAAGGTAACTCAAATCCCCTGAGCAGTGAAGCAGGACCTACCGTTCCCTGCTTTATCAATTACAATTTGCCCCGGCACAGCACGTGGGGAGAACTGCACTCTGAAGAGGGAGGGAATGAAGAGGCAACAGAGGCTGCTGGCTGCACTCACATTGATCATGGCATTGGATGTTATCCTAAAGAGCGTGGCCCGTTCATTGACCTGCTTGATCTTCTCGTTGCTCTCGGCGGGCAGCCGCAGGGCCTCCAGCTCGCTGAGGGAGCGCTGCAGCGCTGTGCCGTGCTTGGCTATCAGGTCGTTGCACGTGCTCAGGTCCTCCACTTTGCTGGACAGCGTCCGCAGGGTGTTCTGCAGCTCCGTCTTGTCGGTTTGTGAGACAGACTCTTCGTCTCCTGACTCATCTGTAGGAGCCAAAAGGTGAGTTACAGGACTCCAGTTACGTGACTCCAGAGCTGAGAGTCGGAACCCCACCAACTCTGCCCGCAACGAAACCAGCTGTGCTTTTGGACCAACCGAGGGCTTGCCATTACCAGACAACTGGGCTCTGATGTGGTCCACGGCCCACCTGTACCACAAACACCTGAGTGGTTCTTCCTTTTTCTCCTGCTGGGGCACACGCCAATGAGCATTTATTTTGCCCATGCTTTTCTTTTTTCTTCCAGTTTTATTGAGTCGTCACTGACATATAGCATATATATATAACATATAGCACTGTATAAGCATAATGATTTGACTTACATATATTGACAAACGATTATCACAGTAAATTTAGTTAGCATCCATCATCTCATATAGACACACAAAAAAGGGGAAAAAAGTTTTCCTAGTGATGAGAACTTCTAGGATGTACTCTCTTAGCAATTATCAAATATACCATATAGTGTTAACTATAGTCATCATTTAGGGGCGCCTGGGTGGCTCACTCAGTTAAGCATCTGCCTTTTGCTCAGGTTATGGTCCCTGGGTCCTGGGATCGAGCCCCACATCAAGCTCCCTGCTCCGTAGGGAGTCTGCTTCTCCCTCTTCCTGCCGCTCCCCCTGCTTATGCTCACTCTCTCTCTCTCTCTCTCTGTTAAATAAAGAAATAAAATCTTAAAAAAACAAAAAACAAAAAACTATAGTCATCATGGGGATGTATGTCACATCCCCAGTATTTATTTATCTTATAACTAAAAGTCTGTACCTTTTGTCCACCTACATTCAATTCCCCCCCCCCCCCCGGCTCTGGTCTCTGGTAACTACAAATCTCTCTCCCAAGGCTCCCGGGGCCCAGAATCAAGCTCACCCCCCCAACCCCCCCCACCCCTAGGCTTCTTCTTAAAGGCGCCAACACTCTGGCCCCACCCCAGAAATTGATTTGGCTGGTGTGAGGCAAGGCCCAGGAACCTGAATTTTGAATAAGCTGCCCAGACCATTCTGATGCACACTGAAGTTTGAGAATCAATGATCCCTGGAAGATAGGATGGAGAAGCTAAATAGCTCCTGGGATTGGGAATGAATTGTTGAGCCTTGTAACTCCAGTTTGAGGGTTCCAATCCAGTCCAAGCTGATCATTACTATAAATCCACCATTATCCACTGGGTGATGGGTGAGCCCTGTATGAAATGGGTTGAGAATTGCACTCTGGTTCTTTGTAAGCAATATCCACATCACCAAAAGACTCATTAATTTACCTTTTCCAAAGGAGAGCTCAGGAAGTTTGTGATGAACTCATCTGACACTAAAGCCACCCCTGCACTGAAATGACCCTCCAACAGTAGGTCAAATAGAGCCACGCTGTACCTCTCGCTATCAGTTCTGTACCCAACAGTCTGCAACTGCAAAATGCTTTTCTAGCAGTGTCACTTCCTTTGGGGGAGCTAACATCAGCACTAAAATCAAAACAAAAGAAATAAGGAAAGACCTCCCCTATCTGCTAGCCTGAGAGGCAGGACTGAAGTCAAAATATAACCTGTTACGAAAAAACTTACAAAGCGGTAAATTTCCTTTCACTGTTTAATAGATATAATACAGTGTGGGAAATGACAGGGGATAAAAAAACAAAAGAGATGAACAAAAGCCAGCAGGTGACCATCTTGGTCAGTTCTGAGTGGACAAGCTCAGTGTGATTAAACTATCAACAAGGGGGGGGGCAGGGGAAATCCACCATTTTCCTTGAAGAAAAATAGAAACATGTGTAGACCACTCTTTTTAGTGAAACTAAGGTAGCAAACTGAAGATTTTCCATAGGAAGTATCCCATATAATGTGTCTTGCAATCTATAAAGACTGTTTCAACTCAGAAGATACTTAAGTAAGAAAATGCCAGGAGAAAAAGAAAACAAATAAAGATAGAATCTAACCGTGAGTTGTAATAATCTTAAGACAGACCTAGCAATAAAATATTTCTTTCCCCAAATTTTAAGGTAGTCAAACGGCATTAAAAGCCAAAACAACAACCGTTATGCTTCTAGGACAGAGTTTCTCCGCCTCGGTACTACTGACATTTGGGCCCAGTTAACTCCTCTTTGTGAGGGCTGTCCTGTGCAGCCTCCCCGGCCTCTCCTCACTGGATGCCCATAGTACCAGCATCCCTCAGCTAGGACCACAGACACATCTCCAGACACTGCCTGATGACCCCCGCAGGGCAGAACTGCGCCCAGATGAAAACCACCATTCCGGGAGAAATACCGCATGAGGAGGAGAGGCCTGAGTCAGTCAGATGGGTGATAATTAACGGACAGTGAGGTACAAAATAAGGTATGTGCCTAGGAGGGGCAAACAGGAAGCTCCCCAGACATGGTGTTCTCTGCTCCCTACCCGATTCTGCCAGCATCTTCACAGCCTTCGCCTTGGCCAGCTCCAGGGCCGTCACCCAGCGCTGCCGCTCCACTTCTGAGCTCGCCTTCAGATGGTAGGTCTGAGCGCCGCCGTTGGAGATGATGAAGTTGCAGGAGTCCTCCACGGTGATGTTGGCCGTGGCGAGGTTGATGGTACCACGGCAAGTGTGTCTCATCTCTGCCTTTGACCTGCAATTATGAGACAAAGACCAGCTAAGTAGAAAGTGGATGGGTGGTTTATCCTTCACCGCCTTCCTTGTCTTCTCATAGCTCTAAGCTTTTTGAACATGTGGCAGCCTTAGGAAACAGCAAGTTCTACTATTTCCCTTACACAGTTCCCTAAGATTCCAGAAACAATCAGTAGGGATTTCCTTTCACAGCCATTAAGTGGTATTACTGAGTCAGACTGTATTGCTCTGCTGTTTTAGAAACAGCCTTCATGGAAGTATAACAACATACAATGTTAATTCAGCAATTTTAAGTGTATAATGCAGTGAGTTTTGACAAATGTATACAATCGTGTAACCACCTCCACAATCAAAATGTAGAACATGTCCATCACACCAAAAAAAGTTCCCTCATTACCCTTTTGTAGTCAGGAATTACTTCTTAGTTAGCAAGTTATAATTTTAAAATAGTGATTTATGGGGCGCCTGGGTGGCTCAGATGGTTAAGCATCTGCCTTCAGCTCAGGTCATGATCTCCAGTTCCTGGGATCAAGTACCATGTCGGGTTCCCAGCTCATCAGGGAGTCTGTTTCTCCCTCTCCCTCTCCCCCTGCTTGTGCTCTCTCTCTCTCAAATGAATAAGCAAAATCTTAAAAAAAATAAAATAGTGACTTATAAACTCACACAACAAAATTTCTTTTAACACTCTCACTCCCTCAGAGAAAGAATAGCTCCATTTCACATATACTAAACAACCCCCCTCCCTAACCTCAACTCAGCCCAAATGAGAATTGTCATACCACGCTTAGAATTATATTGCATCAGTGTAAGGCACACTGAGATGCTTAGGGTATTAAATATTGACTACAGCTCAAATGATATGAAAGAGGAATAACTAGCTTTCTGTGGGAGTAAAGAAAGAATAATCATAAAAGAATCACCAAGTATATAATCTTTTGGGAATATGCTCTTTCCAAGGATCCACTGACTTCTATTGGTAGGAACTCCTAAGCCATCCTATTAATAGCTAGGAAAGATTCAGCAAATCTGTTCTCAGAGGATTGGGTGTAAAAATTTTCCCCATCTCTACTGACAGTTCTATTAATAGACTAACTTTTGAACTTTACATCACTACCTGGTGACAACAAGCTCCTTCACAGAAAATACCAAGCTGCTAGCACAATTGTGTATACCTTGCAAACTGAGCTAATTTCCCCACCGCCCGTTGGGTTATGCCCAGAGACCTGCATGTTGAGACCACAGTTTTCCCTGACCAACTTGGAACATAAAGAGGTCGAAGTCCTTTGCCAACTGCCACAGTGCAGAGCGGAGCCATTTCCCTTTCACTGGAGTCAAGCAGCCCCATACACCTGGCACATCCAGAATTCCTGTGTGCTGGAAACGACACACACCCCATCTCCAGAAACTAAGACTTGGTATGTTTGAGAAAGTCTGTTTACTGTGCTTAGGAAGACAGATTTGCTATTGTTCAGCGTGTCACATGAAACTGGTTTTTCCTCCTCAAATGCACAAATGAGTAGTATGGGATGGCCAAGGAGGTCTCAATGGCCTGGGCCATTTTCTATCCCCTGCACCTGCCACACTGTAATGTGAATCCCTGTTTTTTCTATTCTTACCTCCCCTCCCCCCGCCCCTAAGCTTCAGTTACATTATGAATAATGCAGGCTGAATTTCAGACCCACAGCTGACAGGCCAGCTCACCCTTGCTTTCTACTCCAAAGGTGCTACTTGGACTTTGTACCACATTCCTCACAATCTGTTGGTACTTTTCACCTGCCACTTCCTAGGAATCTCTTCTGCCTGGGTCATCTTCATGAACTAAAGGAGTTTCTCAAATCATATAAAGTTCGTAGCAGTTTTAGAAATACCAAGGAACCCAAAGAGTAAGGCAGGCTTGACTCAGGAGCTCTTGGGTTCAGGCAGATACACCTATGTTTATAAATGATTAGTGCAGTTCAGAGTGCAAGATAAGTTCTTCCAGCACTACGGTAACAATTAGGTGGTACTTTCTGTCTAGAAAGTTCCCTGAAAAGGCCAGCCAAAACAGTAACTCAATCTCTGGAAGCTAGTCAGGAAAACTAATGCTATTTGTCTGGGAAAGCTGAGGGTCTACATATGGTTTTAAGTAATGGGACATCCATGTAACTGTGTATGTAAGGAAGAACAGGATGGGTAAAAAGAGGGAAGTGGCCCGCCAAAGCCCGTTAGGACGGTTCATCACAGGATGGGTCAAAGAAATATATGCTCTCAGTTAAAAAGAAAATAGCATTTTGTAAAAGGCATATAGAGGAAATGACAGGTTATGGAGGCATGAAAAGTGGGAGGAATGACAATTCAGCTAAATAACTCGAGGGAGATGGGGACTCGAAGAACCCTGTTAAGAAGAATAAACTACCAATGTAGTCAGTAGGAAGTACTTCAAAGTGATTTTGAAGGTACTGCAGATTTGATAACCCTGGTTCCTGTTGCTTGGTTGGTTTATGGGTGGGACCATCTTAGCTGGCAAAGACAGGCCTATGCACATTTCCCAGTATGTGGTTTGGTATGCTTTGGAAGGAGTCTGATCTGTAGTCAGACAGGTACCATTAGCTCTTGTGAGAGAGAAGTTAAAAGTGGTTACAAACACCTGAAGAGACAGCAACATGTAACTTCTTAATGTCCAGCCAAGATCAATACTGATTAAGACTGGTACTGATTAAAGAATCAACTGGCCTGGAAAGTGAATCTGGTAAGAACTTGGATGAGGAAAAATGGCCACACAGGAAGGCCCTCAGCTGACACACAACTTCTGAAGATGAGCAATCAATATTAATAGTGACTTACAAGCCAAGTTAGGATACGAGTCAATTGAACATTAGAATGATGGTCGGTGTAACAGGAAAATAGGACTTGAGTAGGGGAAAAATTTTGGAACATACTAAAATGTTAAGATTTGTGATCTAACCTTAAACTGATCGTCCTGGATGAGTACTTAGAAAGGGTTAAAATTAAAATCAATTCTGAATATAATAATGCCAATGATACAACTGTTCACAATGTGGCTTAAGCAGTGAGGATGTGCTAAGGCACTTTCTTAAGAGACTCGATAAGAATGTGTTCTTACTTCGACAACCTCCAACTCCCACCTTCAACTTCCCCTCAAAATTCTCTAAGAGCTGATACAATGGAGTTGATGGAAGAGATTCATTCACCCTAACTCTCCTGGTGGCAGAATGACTACCTGCAAAGGAAGAGAAATAGAGTGAGCTGTTCTTAACAGCGTTTGGGGTCTCAAATAGGATGGCCTTTATAAAAAGACTTCAAGTAGAAATGCCATTTTATTAAGAAAATTCTCCCGTAAAGGAGACTTACACATTTTGTATAAAGTACACATAGTAACTGTGATCTATAAACTTGCTATCGGCAAGCAATAATCTCTATTGGCTGATTGATTCATGTAACACTACCCTGGGTTTTAGGTTATGTTGGTGTGGAGAGAACTAATTTCAAATCCTGACTCTTTAAGACCTTGGAAAAGTTGCCCAGCTAGGTCTCAGTTTCCTCATCAGTAAGACAGGAATATCTCCTAACTCCCAGGGTTATTGTTGGGAGTCAATGAAACTATCCAAACTGTCCAGCCCTCAGGAAATGTTTATGTCCTGTCCCCAAATCCAGTATCATTATCTCTAGTAACTCGAGTAGCCAAAAGCATGCTACAGTTATGGCAAGACTGTCAGTCACCATAAATATATATTAAACGCTCCAGAACAAACAAGAAGTAATCATACCAAAGACATGGATTCTTCTTTTAATAAAACTTAAACCTAACCAAGCAAAGAGACCCCAGAAATACTGGATAGACCACTTAAATCATTCCCATGGGGGGAGGTGGGATCAGCACACATAAAAGCAGCACTGGAGTGCACATCTCCATTCTGGGCTGTCCAGAAGGTGAAAGCATATGCCAAGTCTGGGAGAGATAAGGAAGACAGGGGGTAGATACGGAGGCCACCCTGTGCCTCGTGTCCTTGTGCCTGAACATGGAGAGAACAACGGCGGGTACATCAAGGGCTGCTAATAACCTTGAATTCTGGAGACTGAGGACAGACAGCTAAGACTTGGGACTTTCACAGTAAGTTCCTTGAGAGCCATGCCTGGATTTTGCTCTTCTACATGTGCCCCTTAGCACCTACAACAGCGCCTTCCTTGCAGAATTCATCATTGCACCTCTGTGCTGGTGGAAACACAATGGAAGAGTAGATGCTCTCCAAACAATTGGAAAGGCCAGGAACGGAGGGGAAGGTATTGCACCAAGGGCGGGTAACCCAGGTGGAGGGGTTAGACCCGGGGCGTTCACTTTTGTGATGGTGGGCTCGCATCGCGGGCTGTCAATGCGCGCAGGTGACGAAAAGGGGCCTGGGGCGACCTTGGCTGCGGTGCTGGCTCGAGAGGGTGACGGCGCGGGGACTGTGGGCTGCGGTGGGGGACGGCGCCCCGGAAGCAGTTACCTGTAGTAGCTCAGGAGCCCGTTGCTCAGCACGAACCACCGCCGCTGGTAGCCTTTGATATAATTGGTCCATTTGAAGAGCCAGCCCTCTCGAGCCGAGCCCGAACCCCCGGCGCCCGAGC